ACTCACCCAAGGCGTTGCCGTCGCCCCCAAGGAGGAATTCTTCCCACAGGGAATGCACCAGCCGATCGAGCGTGTTACTTGGCTGTTCAGCTTGAAAATCCTGGAGCAGGAGAGAGAGAAACGGGCCTGCCTTAGGGGGATTTACATATGTAATAAAGAGCTTTACGTCATTTTGGCAGGTTTTTCCCATCTAGAAAAACTTCCTTATTCAGGGGCAAGGTTTAACCGCCCTCCCAAAACCTCGATGAATGTGGCCCCCAGTCGAGAGTGCGAATTTTTATCCGGGCAAGGATATTTGATAAATTTGTGTTATCTCTGACATTCTTTGGCAGTGGGAAGGAGTCGGTTAAGGAGAAAATACTGGAACTCGGACCCCAAAGGGCAGCCAAACCAAAATTATCCTAGACTTCATGAAAGTGAGACATTTGATCATGGTCTGACTCTTAGCCCATTCAGTTTTCTTAGTGCCTGGGACTTCTAGTGTTACCTACTCCATACTCCCTCTCCTCTCACGTTTTCTGCCGGGATTCGAAGAGCAAAACTGGCCGTGAGTGTAGCATTAGCAAGTGCACAAAATCAGATCAGCGTAGCGTGTCCTGTTTGCGGTGCTTTGTATAGTTTACTTTTTATGAATAAACTTTAGATTCAAATAAAACCTCAGGAGTGTACTTAACTTTTGTAGAACAAATAATTCATATCCTTCCTGCCTTCGCATTTGCCTTCCCTGAGACAGTAGGTTTTCTTTCAGGAACACTCTCTCCTGGTCACTTTCACTAAATGTACCCTCCAGTGAGTTTCCACCATTGCCCTTTGAGACCTCTCTGAACAATTAAAAGCCCCAAGAATTAAACTGAAAGGCCTTTAGAGTGCAAATTCCTCAAGGATGGGAGCCAGGTGTGTGTCTTTTTTTTTTTAATTAACTAAAAGATTACTCCCTGAACTTCTCCGTGGGGTGCAAGAATTATTCAGGTAATTGTTCAGCCTTCCACAGCAAGCTGCATGCATAAAGATAGTCAAAGTATTGTAAATTCTTAGTACACTAATCAAACAAAATTATATAACTAACACACTTTTGCAACAGAAAATGAAGCGTTCACTATCTTTTGTCACATGCCAGGCACTGGTGTGAAATGTTTTACATGACTGTCTCTTTTAATAATTAGAACAACCTTAAGTTTGCAGTAAATATTATTATTAACCTTTTTTTTTAAAAGCCAGTGAATAAAGAGGGCCCGCAAGGAGTTAAGTAATTTGCTCAATGTAACACAGCTAAGAAGTAGCAGAGCTATGACCAAATCCAGTAATGTTTGACTCCAAAGTCTTGATTTTATCCTATACTTTTTGACAGCAACCAGACCAGAAATTGTACCAGTTCCATCAGCTATCATATTGATAAATATTTAAGTAAAAGATAATATTCAGTGCTGGTGAGATAAAAGGGTGCTACCAGACATTGTGAGTGGGAGTGTAAACTGAAACAACTTGTGTGGAAACAGTTTGGCCCTGTGATTCAACCTATAAAAATGTTCATGCTCTTGGAACCCAGAATCCCGTATCTGGGATTCTTTCTGAATGAAATAATCTGAAATTGAGCAAAAGTTTTATTCATGAACTGTATGTTACAATGTTATTTAGGAGAAGCACAAGTAAAAATTACAGAAATTAAATGCCTTAAAGTAACTATATCTGCAGTATTTTAGGTAACAATTTTAAATGTGTCATGTATATAATATCATGGCAAGTTTTTTTTTTGATAGTATTAAGTGGGGGGAAAAAAACCCACAAGTTATGAAACTAACTATGCAGTATGATCGCAACTATGTTTAAAAAACAAAAACAAAAACTATAAGGTGTTAGAAAAAAGAAAGCTTGAAATATGCACAGAGGGAAGACCATGTGAAGACCCACGAAGAACTTCGTCTTCAAGCCAAGGAAGCCTGAGGCCACCAGGAGCTGGGAGTGAGGCCTGGGACAGATTCTCCCCAACAGCCTTCAGAGGAAACCAGTCTTCCAGCATCTTGATTTCTTACCCTAGTCTCCACAATGGCAAGACAATAAAGTTCTGTTGTTTTAAGCCAAAAAGAAAAAAAAAAAAGGAAAAGAAAGACTGAAACCCAGAGTTATCTTCAGATGTGTTTCTTTGGGCATTCCCACCCCCACC